GCATCACGGAGCTGCTAGCAGAGAGACAGGAAGCTAACAGCAGCAGTCACTGGACAGAGCTGTAATTTATGCATAACGTTAAGGCTTAATATTAATTAAACAGATGAGTTGAGAAAAGATTCACCCCCCCCTCCCCCCCCCCCCCTACAGTTGTCATGAAGGGGGAATCTTACGGAGCCCCCTAGGGGACATGGAGAAGAAAAGAAAAAATTGGTAGAAAAAAATAATAGGTTTGGTTGCACTACATTGTAAAATGTCAAAGTAATTTAAAATAGTTTGAAATAAAAAAGCGTGAAAAATATTTTAAAGCATATTTATTCAAAATAAGTGTTATACTGTAACAACAACATAACCATTGATGTGTTAAGAGATTTTGGTAGCACTACATCTTAAAGGTCCCATGTCATGGCCATTTCCACTGATCATAATTCCATTGTTGAGGTATACTAAAATAGATTTATACTGTGCAATTTTCCAAACTCACATTGGTTTCTCATACAGCATCTCTGTAAAGTATGTGTATTCAGCAGTATTCACTCTCTCCACTAAACGACTCGTTGCAGCTCTTGCCCCCCCCCTCCCTGTGAGCCCAGTGTGCTCCGATTGGTCAGCTCGGCCACTCTGTTCTGATTAGTCAACCACCAGAGTCTAAGGCCCCGGCTCCACGAGGACAAATACGGCAAAACGCATCGGAGAAACGCAAATGCAACCGCAAAAAACCTTCCGTCCCCACGCAATATACACCGGATTGTGTCAAGCTCCACGAGACGGCTCCGTTTACATCCAAACGCTGGAAAAGCTACAGTACATATGCCGAACCTGTACGTGGCGCTGTAACTTCCTCCACAAAAGCAGCAACTTCCTCCACAAAATCAGCGAAGAAGAATGGTTGTCATGGCTGCACTTCTGTGTATTCTCCGCGGTGGGGGCCGACAGAACCGGGCAGAGTTTTTCGCCGGTCAGCGTGTGTTAAAGTTTAAATCTTCCGGACAAAATTATAAAAGTGCCGGTCAAAGGTCTTCATTGTTATTTATTGAGCTTTAAAACAAATGAATAACGACGATATAATGATATATAATCATCAAATACACAGAGCCTGTCTCTTTTTCCTCTCTTCTCACAGCGTCAGTGTCTGTCTCATGCAGCAGCTGATCCTGTAATGAGTGACCCGACAGTAAAAATGAACATATTTATAACTAGTTTAGGTAGTTTGAGAGGTAATTAAAATAGCTAAGGGTGATGATCTGACTTGAACTGTGTGTTTTGCTCCCGCTGCATCACAGCGGCAGGAGCTGCGTGTCTCCGTCCTGTCAGATTAGACTTCACTCGCGTTTATGTCCATATCGAGATAAAGATAAATAATCTGAATTCAAGGAGGAGCTCCTGTAGATGTTGCACAAAGAACTGTAGCATGGTCAGTAGCGACTGGAACACGATAGCAACCCTGCGGGGGAGAGGCGGGGAGAGGCGGGGCTATAAAAACGAATGACCGTATAGGCGACTCCACGGCCCCGTTGGACCCCCCAGAGCGCTCTGTTCCCAGATCTATCCACCTTTGGACCCGTTGTCGTTTGCGGGGTCTGTTTCTACGTTTCCCTTACGGCGTCGTGGAGCTTAGAGGGCTATACGCATGAGAAATATGCGGATTCAACCAGTTTTCGTCCTCGTGGAGCCGGGGCCTTACAGTGCTTTTTTCGGCTCGCTATGAGCGGAAAATCATTCTTATAATGGCGTCGGTACAGCCGTATATTTTATACGCTAACTAACCGAACTGTACCTACAACTGTTGTTATAGAAGAGTAAGTTATTTTGACCTGTAATAAACTACTACTGTTTGATGAGAAATCAAATCATGGTTTGCTATATATGACTGATATGTTATAGGAGCAAATAACTCAGGGAAGAAAGGATACTAAGTATTTCCATCAAACTTTATTTTTAGAAATGTACAAAATGAACATGTGTAAATATACATATATACACTGTATATCATCCATTCCTCCCCTTATAGGCATTTTCGGCATATTGCCTATCGCAGCTTTGTAAGCGGCTGCTGGGGCTTTTTAGGACGAGGCATCAGAGTGGGTCATCCCGTGTGTGTGTTGTCCGCCAGATACGCCAGGAGTTTCCTGATCTGGCTGGACGAAATCAAATGCAAATCACAAAATATTAGAGAAACTTAGTTGTTTTAGATTCGTTAGTAGTAGTTGTGGTTGGAGTGTGTATCTCTAATCTATCTAATCAACACAGTTAGCTAGCCAGCTAATATGCTAAACTACGTTTGCTAGTTGTTCAGTGTAATATGCCAATCTACTATGAACAACAGCTAGTCTAGGCTAGCAAGAACATGTTTACAATTGCAATCTTATACGGGTAGTCTGCTACGTTCGGTCATTCATTGTAGCTGGCATGAAAACAATGTTTTCCCTACCATGTCTAGCTCTAGGTAGCCTTGTTGTTTAGCTATGTAGCATACACGCTATGAACGGTAGCTCGGTAGCATACACGCCAGGAACGCCAACTATAATGTACTGACCGTATGATAAATCACCCGGAGTATACTGTCTATGAGTATTTTGTGTGTGATTGCAGACATTCTCCAGCTATGAGATACATGTAAGGCCATCTGCTAACATTGGAGTTGATATATCGAAACGCTAGCAACTTAGTTAGCCCAGTTAGCATTGCTCGCACACACTGCTGGAGGAGCAGACAGGCTTGGCGATAAAGCTAGAACAAGCAAAACTCATCCTGAGCACACACAAACACTCACAGCCGAAGTAAAAACAATAAGTGTGGCTTGATATTGAGTAAGAAAAAGGTTTATAACGCTGTGAGCATGGGTCTGCGGAGAGCATTTCAACGTAGAAAAACGTTTACCCATTTAAACAGTCGTGGTAGATACCTTGTTTGTTTTAAACATCATAAATACACAAACAACAATGAATACTTACAGGTTGTGTACCCTAACTCCCGCTGGTCCAAACAAAGTAGGAACAGCATCGTTCTTCAGTGCCCTACGCTGTACATATCCGGCATGAATCCTGAAAGGTTTTGGGAAGCTTTGTTACGTGAAAGGCTGGCAGAGGGTGCGGCCATAGCTCTGGGCGTGGCTACTGGCCATCCCTACGTCACGATACCCAGGAAGTAAACAATGGAAAATGAGAAATCTCCAACGAGGCATTTTGGGGAGGTATTTTCTGTGTTAGAGTTTTACTCGCTACAGGGTGTATTTTGAGGGTTTTTGACTCTGCAGACCATTTACATGCATAAAAACCTTCATAACACACAAGGGGACGGGTAATAACCGGAAAAGCATGACATGGGACCTTTAAAAAAAATGAAGTTATTGCATTTTTCTATGACTATATATTTTCGGCGTTGCAGTTTGTAGACGGTCCCTAAGCACTCGTCTCCTCCAGCTGCAGATTGTGACCAATTCTTGATGATTAGCTCGGATGACGGCGCGTATCGAACTGTTCTGATAAAAACGACCCTGTAGCTCGTTGTCTACCTTACTATGATTGTAAAGTCATGTTGTTTGTATTTTTACAACGTTATGTTCATGAGTTATTGATCCTTGAAATTCGAATCTGTCAATAACTCAGCTCAGAGTATGCTTTGCGACGTGCATGTCCCCTTCCTCTGAGTGTTCTCTTGAGGTGTCTTTCACTTATGTGAAACCCGTGCCTATTGCCAAGCACTGATGTTATATCTTTATATTTTAGGCCAAGCTCAAAGTAAAAATCGATGAACCGCTCCATTGTTGTGGTTTCTGTGCAGGGACGCGGGAAGGGGGGGTGCTGAGGGGGCTGCAGCACCCCCATCTGTTGGCGGAGAGTTGTAACTGCGACGCCAAAAAGTTCACTAAACAAATCAATACAAAAGTTTTATTTTGAGTTACTATTTTTGAGTTAGCATTTTAGTGTAAGCAGTCTATAAAAAGCTTCACTATATAAGAGAAAGTGATAATGCGGTGTGCTTCTTCTGTTGCTCTGCTATAGAAAAGAAGCTTGTCAGTGCAGACAAGATCAGGGATGGGAGTTTTGTGAAAGCAGGGTTTAACAACTGGCGAAAGGCAGGGGAAACATTTAGGGAGCATGAGAAATCCCATCAACACACAGGCCGTCAACAAACTGGCAGCATTACAACGAACACCGATGAATGCACTGCTCTCACAAGCTGTTGCTAAAGACCAAATGACTGCATTTAATATGACGTTATTATACAGGGCCGCCCCTCCCTACACGCAGCTCACGCAGACCCCTCGCGGATGGGGCCTCATTTTGCGGAGGGAACCTCCTCTGAAGCGCAAACGCGGCTCCACTAGCACCCCTCCCCCCCCCCCCCCCCCCCCCCCCACCGCACCCGCATGCCGCACCCCGCACCCGCACCCCCACCAACTCTGACTGACTTCCCGCGTCCCTGTTTCTGTGTTGCCGAACTGACCCGGAAATACATTGAGCTAAATGAAAAGTTTAGCTCAAAGGTTTTGCAATATCTCGCAAAGATAGATTTTTTTTTTCGACCAATTTTTTTTTCCATCTCCATGTCCCCTAGGGGGCTCCGTAGAATCTAACTATACAAAGAATAAGGGTTTTCGAACCACGATGTAAACATGTTTATTTCTGCTGTGAAGTTGGGCATTTTAACATGGGGGTCTATGGAAATTGCTCCCTTCTGCAGACTGATCCTACTAGATGAACTGCAGTTTGAGGCACTTCCTTATAGGCTTCCCGGCTCTGCCCCAGAGTTTGCCGCTTGGTGTGTGCATATGTGTGCACATCTGTCTCGGTGTGTGCATGTGTGTTCACACTGCGACGGCTGGAGTGACTCATCTCTGCAGCACACTGCAGTATCTGGGTCACACACTGAACGTAGCAAAAATGCATCCACAAAAACATCCACACTCTCATGTGGAGCTCCATTAAGCTAAGAAGTGTTTTGATGCTGCAGCTTTTTGGCTCATGTTGTTCAACATGCTGTTTTTTGTCTTCCAGGTGGAGTGCAATTCCAAACTGGACCCGACCAACACCACCTTCCTGAAGGTAACAGTCTGTTAGTCAGTCTCAGCTCACCTTCAGCGGCTCCATCCTGACACACGTCTGATTTATAGTGCAAGCACAACTTCACCTTTTTACACCCAAAAATAAATTAAATATCAATCAATCAAACTTTACCCATTACACAGGTTGCAGATCAAAGTGCTTTACAGACTTATATGCCGGAATTAAGACAGAAAATAAATAAATAAAATAAGACACAATATGATGCTATATAAGTGCTGAATTTGAAAATGGTAACATTTTACGCTGACATGTTAATGGTATGGTTTGGTGTATATTCTTCTATTTAGTTTTATGCTAACTAGTCTTATTGAAGGAAACTCTTTTGTCACACAGCACTTTGACCATACAGCTGATCAAATAAAAGACGTCCAATGAAAGCACCACGTGTACTTCTGCAACAAGCTCATACAGTGGCCTTTCCCTTATTTAAGAGACAAGAAACTCAATTAACTCATTAAACGGACTCTGAAATTAGTTAGCAGCTAGCCCGTTCCTCGTCTAGAAAACATGCCTGAAAGAATACACAGGTTAAAGAGATTTTAAAAGTGTGTTTAGTGGCATAAAATACTGTATGTCAGTAAATACCAAAAATCTTAGCAAAAATCAAAATTCCACTTGGTTTTGTCAAAAAAAATGCCTGTGTGCCTACAAAACAATGACAATGATGTTATTCATACTGTGATAAAACTTCAAAGATTTACAAAAAATGTAATGATTTAAGTATTGACACGAGATAATGTTGTTTAGTTAAGAGGCAAGCAGAGAAAACATGTGTTCATTTTCTGTCTAGTTTGGAGCTATTAGCGGTTAGCTTCATGCTGCGCTCTCTCCTCTCTTGTAGATGGCTGACTCTGGAGGACTTCCCCAGCTCACACAGGTAACACACGCACACACACACGCACACGCGCACACGCACACACACGCACACACGCACGCACACGCACATGCACACACACACACACACAGCCATGCATATTTTACAGGCTGCCATAAAATCAAATGAAATTGAGAAAGAGCATGAATGCATCATCCATATTTGACATGTTTATCTCCATATTCAGTGAAATTAAATGTTTTGTTTTCCAGCCTGGGAAGCTGACTGAAGCCTTCAAGTACTTCCTGCAGGGAATGGGCTACAGTGAGTATCCACATTGAGACACTGATGTTAGCGAGTGACAGAGTGATTTTATATCAATATTTGCCCTCGAAAGAAATTCTCATAAAAAGCCATTTCAGCAGAAAATATTATTGTTGTCATGTGTGCAGGCTTGGGAGGTATAACGGATACGTATTCGATTACAATTACATACAAAAAAAAGAAGTAATCAGATAACTGTAACATTTAGAAGAATCCGGATACCTGTATTCGTCCCACAGAGGGGAAATGTACATTGTTAAAGAAAAAGTGGAGAGCCAAAGACAGCAAAATATGAATTAAGAAGCATGCATAAAATATTAAAGATAAAAGTAGAAATTACACAATTTACATTTTGGAATAAAGATCAATATATAATAGGTAGTCGTACTGAACACATTTTATTCATGGTTTATATTTAGGCTACTTTAATTCTTCTTTATTTTAAATAAAAAAAAATGATAATGCGGATACCTGATTTAATAAACAAAAACACAGTCTTAAAGGTGGGGTAGGTAATTTTGGAGAAACCAGCTCGAGTGCGCAAGAATTTGAAAATACACAGCCGGAAAAAATCTGCCACTTCCTTACAGAGCCCCTCCTCCAACACACACGTACGCGCACATGACCAATGAGGGCACGAGATAAGTTTGTGCACAGATGAAAGGCTGACAGGCAGGTAGGCCATCCAGTTATTTTAGCCGGGCCGGCTAAAATGATTGGTCGTACTTTTTACAGTACTACGGCTTCCACAGATTAATTTTTTTATGGATTTTTTGTCAAAGCACTTAAGATATTCATTGCTATCGGGATGTTAAGAGCATTCCATGGAATATAACAAAAAGTGTATCTCGAGCCGGTTTCTCAAACTTACCTACCCCACCTTTAATGTACAAAGCTTAAACACATTTATAAACTTTTACTGTTACTACTTTTTTTACATGAAATATCTTGGTTTTAACAAATGTTCTACATACACTTTATGTAATTTATTTTTTCTTGTTTTTATTGCATTAAATATTGAGGTAATCCAAAAGTAACAAAGGTAATCAGGTAACATTCCCTATATATTTTGATACTCTGATTAGGTTACTGATTACATTTTTTCAGATGTAACTAGTTATATTAACGGATTCCATTTTTGAAGTCACCCTCCCAAGCCTGCTTGTGTGTGAGTGTGTGTGATGTGATGTGTTTGAGGGTCATGAGCTGTGTTAATCTTCCCTCTGTCTTCCTGCCCCGTTCTCTCAGTCGCTTATGTGAAGGATCGGAGGTTGAGTGGAGGGCCAGGTACTCCCCCCCCTCACGTCTGACCTCTTATTGCTGCCCTCTTATTGACTTTGGCATCTTGAACATTTATTTTGATTTCCGTTGGTTATGACTATATTTTGGGCTGTTATGAAATCCTGCTGGCATTACTAATATATATTTTTTAATCTCAAGTACATTAAACCCCATCATTGTTTTATCAAAAATATTTTTTCCAACAATGGAAAAATATAATCCCCTGACCTCCCCCTCCCCCATTCCTTTGCTACTGCATCTCCAATGCTGCTCTTTGCATGGCCTTCAGCTTCGAGCACAGCCTTTTGGTCTGAGTTTGTAACTAATGATCATGTCTTTAAGTTACTAGCAACAAATAAGACAAGTTGAGGTTTTAAAGACATCTGAACACTAAATCTAGTTCTGTAATAAAACTGCTGACTGAACACTATTTAAAAATGTATTTTGCCCTCAGGGTTATGCAGATTACTCGCTAAACTGCTGTCCCTAATGCACTCAAAACAGCACACAGTATGAAACACTCTAAGTGTATTTCTAATGGTGCGTTCAGACCGGACGCAAAGCGAATGACTAAAATTAAATGTAAAGTCAATGCAAAGGCCGGAGATAAAAGTAAATTGATGCTTGGCGGCGCGAATGGCGCAGCGTGACTGAAGCTAGCTTCATACGCGAGAATTTGGTGTGGCGCGGTCTCATGGAGAATCTCCACCTGTTGGCACTGACTGAATCAGAAAACAAAATATCAGCCGCTGGCTGCGGGCAACGACACACAGAGCTTACAGTTCCTTATATCTGAATAGAAACTGGAGAAAGTTATATGTATACAAACCACAGACTGTCTGTAGCACTGCAAATGATTTCAATTATATTTCTGTCTGTATGACGTTGTGAGTGTGGACGCAGCAGCTACAACGGTAGCCTAGCCGGATTGATCCAATCTCCATTCAGAAAACAGACATTTAAAACAAAATATTCTGCTATTCACGTTCACACTTGCCAAAGCATTGATTCATGGTTTTTAGTGATTGGTATATATGTAGTTATTTCTGCATCATTGATGACGTGTTAAGTAGTGCGATCAACCCTGAGAGAATCTTTACTTCACGTCCGGTGTTAACAGACCATTGAGATAAAGAATGGAAAAAATACATATAATATCACAGGATTCTAATTAATGATCAATTCAAGGAAAACTATTTTAATTGTGAAGCTGGTAATGGTGGAGATAACTTAAAGTGGACCTATCATGCTATATTTGAATAATATATTGTAGGGCCATACCTATATAAAACATGTCTGTGAAGTTTTTTTTTCAAAATACCAAACAGATCATGCATTTTAGCCATGCATTTGCTCTTTTCCAGCCCTGTTTTTGCAAGGGCTGATTCTGTGAGAAGTCTTCTTCGCTGCTTTTGTGGCAGACTAAAACGCCACTTACAGGCCTGGCATATGTACTACAGCGTCTCTAGCGCTTCCAAGCGGCAATGGCCGGCCGTGGCCCAACCCCCCATCCCCCTGATAGGTGGAGAGTTGCCCATATAGGCGGAGCACCCTTTTTCTGACGTCAGAACAATTTCAAATATGTATCAGCTCCGTTGCAGCCCCATTTTTAGAGATTTGGGTATGGATCTGACCTCAAATCGGCAGCGGACCCACAGAAAATTGCTATCAGAAACAATGCCTGACGTGTTTTGGACGTAATCTCGTCTTTGTTTACATTAGCAAGCCTCGCTAACACTAAGAGCTAACCTGTACTGTAGAGCAGGGGTTCCCAACCTTTATTGTGCCAAGGACCGGCAGATACATAAAAACAAAATCGCGGACCGGTTGTCAATTTTAATTGATTTTAATATTTACTCACAAGCAGGTAGCAACAGAGACTAATTGTATGTAACAGCCTGAACAGTGTGTGTCACTGGCATTTGTTTTCAGAAGATATTATGATAGTGTCGTTCGTTCCGCTGCACACACACATCATGCGCCTTGGTGACCGGACATCTCCTTCAAAAAACGACTAATAGGGGGAATAATCGGGCAGTTCGATATGTGTAGAGGTGTGTGTGTGTAGAGGTGTGTGTGGTTAACACGTAGCAGCCTGCAGTCACTCTTAAGCTGTTCTGAAGAAGGTAAACACAGTGAAGGCGGTGCGTAAAAAGGCACAGCTCTCTGCGCACTGGTGCTGCACTTCTCAGAGGCGGAGTTACACGTCCCGCTGCCTCCTGATGCTGCAGCCATTTCATGAAGTGAAGGAGGTTTTACTTCTATAAAACAGCTGTGAGCAGCAGATACTGTGAGAGTCCCGGACATGAATTCATAGATCAAGGCAGACTGGTTTACAGACTCTCCTGTTTTGCCAATCCGGTGCTTAAACAAATAGCTCTACACCCGTGGCCAACATGTCCTTAAAATAAAGTCTGAGTTTGAAATATATCTCAAATAATGTATGCACCACCATTTCCCCACATAAACACAACAGTCTGCAATGAAACGGTTGTCTCCTGTGTGCTCCTCTTCCTACTTGGCGCACCGCCACCGCGCACCGCGCATTCTCGTGCGTACGAGAGGCTGAGACCTTAGGCTGAGCCGCCGAGTCCCTCGGAACATCATAAAAGCCATTTTCAACAGTTTTCCGGTGAAAGTTTAACTAGGCTACTGGATGACATAATATGACTGGTATAGGTGCGAAAATTATTACGATAAACTCACAGCTATTTCGTGGCCCGGCAGTAACACCTCCGCGGCCCGGTACCGGTCCGCGGCCCGGGGGTTGGGAACCCCTGCTGGAGAGCACATGTGTTTAAAAAGCAGGAAATAAAAAAAGGAACTCACCTTGTGATAAACCTGCAAGAGAAAAAGCATTTGAGCTCCATACTATTTCAGAAATAATCTTTGATGTGGTTTAGAACAGGATGGCGTTTTATCACAGCAGAATTTAACTTATCTCCGGTAGAATTCTGATCAGGCATTAGCTCCGCCTCCTCTTTCTTTTTTTTAAAGCTAAGGACCCAAAATCCGCGTTTCTCTATAAGGGCTGCAAAAGAGGGGTATGAGCAGTATGAGGCATGGCTACAATGGGTGAACTGTTTGGTATTTTAAGCAAAAAACTTCACAGACATGTTTTGTATAGATATGGCCCGACAATATATTTGTCCAATATAGCATAATAGGTCCACTTTAAGTATAGTACCTGGGTTAATGTACTTAGTTACTTTCCATCACTAGTTCAAGTTCTATAAATGAGTGTAAGGCCACGTTTACACGGAGACGAAACAGGTTGTATCCGCTGCAGTTCTCTATCGTATGGACGGTTCGTTCACACGAGGCCGTAACGGAACCGCGGAAAAGGAGCCCTCAAACGGTAACGGGTCCCAAGGTGGGTAGATCTGCGGACGAAACGCTCTGGGGGGCCTAACGGCTCCGTGTGTACGTCCTATACGATCATTTCCTGATAACGACGACGCCATAGCCCCGCCTCTCCCAACCTCTCCTGCTCACCCCTGCGTCACCCGTGTCATTGCTGATGTGTTTTCGCCAACAACCTCTGCTGCTCACTGCTGTAGCATGGTCAGTAGCTACTCTCTGCTACTGACCATGCTACAGATGTTAGTGCAAAATCTACAGCTCCTCTACCACAACCATCAGCAACAAGTGGGCATGGAGAACTACATGAACTACATGTTGCTAAATCCACCGCGGAGAATAAACAGAAGGGCAACCAGGCAACCATGGCAAGCATGCTCGGGAGGTCTTCTTCGCTGCTTTTGGTGTATTTTGTGGTGGAAGTACAGCGCCACTTACAGGCCCGGCATATGTACTACAGCGTCTCCAGCGGGTCGAGCGGTCTCGTGTGGACGGACACGTTTCTTGAGCCGATACCGTGTGGACGGAATACTTTTTTGAAATCGACTAAGGTTCGTTTTCGTTATCGTATCCGTGTAAACGTGGCCTAATTCATTGTATAATAAAGTCCCAGCAGTAACAGAGTGCATGGTGCTGTCACTGACAGCTTCATCCATCAGCCGTTTGTCACCAGCTACTCAAAGGGATATTCTTCACATTAGCATGTTCTCCCAGCATCTCAAAGTATCAACTAATAACACCTTTTCCCCCACAATGCAATGCTGAATTATTTTCTCTCCCACAGTGCCCTCGGCCAGTATGACCCGCCTGGCCCGCTCCAGGACCACCTCCCTGACCAGCGCCAGCTCGATCGACGGGTCCCGCCCCCGCGCCTGCACCCACTCCGACAGCACCGAGGGGGTGGGCCCCGTCACCCACACCATGGAGGTCTCCTGCTGAGGAGTCACAGAGAGAGAGGGTGGGAGGGTAGAGGGGGGGAGAGAGAAGAAGCAAGATGGAGATGAAGACACGACGGTGGGGTTTGAGAATCATGAGGGATGAAGGTGTCTCTGTAGTCAAACATGGTAGATGGTAGAAGCAGCAACAGGAAGCCCTCTCTGCATCTTCATCCAACCATATGTGTTGCTACTAAAACCCCAACCACAACTTTTAATGTCACTTAAAGATTTAGGCAACTGTTTTCGTTGTTCTTTGTGTTTTCTAATGGATTATTTGCCTGCACCACCCCCCCCCCCCCCAACCTCCACAAACAAAGGGATGTAAACGAGTCAATCCACACAGCAATATGTGTTATAAGCTATTGTTTATAATGTGAAATGGGGAGTTGTCAGAGAAAGTGAAAGTGCAGGACAAAGAAAGGAAAACAGTGTTAAGCATCAGTGTTTTACAAGCAGGGTATTCTTCTGTTGTCGTATGGATAAAAAGTAATCTCTCTCTGTGTTGTTTGTAACAAATAGTTATTTTCTTTATGAATGCGTGTCAGAGTGTGTGTCCAGAATTAGACAGACAACAGAACACAGCCTAGCGTAGCCGAGTGCACCTGTAGTGCTTAGAGAGGATTCTCTTTTAGTCTAAGATCATAGCTAGAGTTCACAATGCAGATATTAAAGCTGCACTTGGTAAAAGTTTATATCCAATTTACGCTGAAGAAAAAAAGTGCTTTCATCAGCATACTGTACATGCGATTCAGGCCACCAGTCATGAGTTCCCTGAGACCACTTGAGGTGGATTGGGTTTGTGTTTTCAGATTTGACTACACATGCTAATCTGGGCTCTACAGATTCTTACAATTCAATCATGTTTTGTTTGATGAAGAGATAAATCTGTCTCCTAAGAAGAATTTAAAAGTGGTATTTTCAGAAAACGCTCTGTTCCATTTGGTCTGATACTGAACATAGTATCACATATTTGAAGTTTAAATATTTCCTTCGTTTCGGCCCTTTGGAGCCATATTATTGCTGAGTGCAGCTTTAAACTGTGTTTCACATTTCTAATCCAATCCACTATGTGAGTATAGGCTAGAACAAATACTAATTAGTGTATGTATGTCAACGTGAAGGTTTATCTTAACGCATTCTAGTTTTTGAGCAGTGTCTAGTGTTAGGGCATCATTCATTAGCAGCGTACAGTATTAGTTAAATAGAGCCATCATCAGTATCTAACTCCATTGCAGCGGTCCTGGCCGTAGTCGGCTCTTTGTGGTCTCTAACGTGACAATCACACACTGACCCACACCAAACCAGACCAGGGGGGCCGAGGCCGGACCGGGCCCACCCACCCAGCTCGGGTCGCCACCAAAGAACTCGCAGCGCCCAGCCCTCTTAGTGGATATACCAAAGCTACCCCGACCCCACCACACACACACTATCCAACCAGAAACATATTCCCATGCACACACACTCATATGACACCTATGTGGGCTTTGCTTTGTAAGGAACTACGTTAAAGAGTCAAACATAATGTCCATCGCTATATGGTTAGATTGTACTTTGATGTGATGTGTAATCTCCCTCGTAAAGCACATACATATTAGTATAGTTTTAGATTAGTCGAGCTGTGCACTGTTATCTGCTGTAACACTGGACCCCCCTGTCGATCAGTTTTTTCTGATCTATTTTTATTGTGCTTAGTAATGTACAGTATGCATCCACCACAGTCACAGTCTCCTGTTTCAACTTTTACAAAAGAAACCTTTGGTCCCCTGTCAGGAGGGGCGTAGGTAGCCTGTAAGGGGCGGGGCTATCTGGAGCCATTTAGGCACCAAGCTCAGAATGTAGGGCAACCACCAGCCACCTTCAAAAGAAGAAACCCTTTCCCCTCAAAAACGCGGTGCCCCGGCTCTTACAGGCAGACCCAGTCGCACCCTAAAGGGCTATCAGCTGAAGTCACTTTTTAAAATGCTCGGAGTGTTTGTTGTGTGTCGTCTTTTGTTACCTAAACACAGAGAGAGATTCTGACCTGAAAAATGGGGAATGAATGTGAGAAGAATGTGATGTTGATTAAGCTGAAGAGATTATTGTTGAATCGTTTGAAATATCCATGAATTTAATAGTTAAACTATCCTGACATTAAAGAAAAAATTACGAGAAGATAAACAGTAAGAAAGTCAGATCAAGCGCCTCACACTGAAAAAACTGAAATGTTGACTTTAATTAAATGTATTGTGTCAACAGATTTCATATGTCTGTATTAAGTTAGTTGAACGTATTATATTAAGTTGAACTTAATTGTTTTATTTCAACTTAATATTATTGCCTTCAACTAACCTTTCAATTTTTTCAGCGCAGTTACTAGACGTATCCAGTCATGTTTTCTCTCTTTACTAAGCTTTTCTCTGCCATATACACTTTGGTTTCCTCCTACACAACCTTTACCCGTACTGCCTGGGGGGCTCCTGAATGTATTTTGTCCTTTTTCAAAGTGCTGTACAGTATTGCCAACCTACGCCTCTCAGAACCGCTCACCATGTTTTGCATTCTATCCCTGCTTTTTTGACATTTAAACCTGTTTATGAAAACCCTGGTCTATGAATAGTGTGGAAGCTCCTGTCAGCTGGCCGTTTGATCAGACCTTAGTTCTCCTGGCACTTGTAGATACTTTTATTTATAGAGCAGGTTACCCGAACACTTTAACACTTCTGTAATGTGAAGAAAACGTTTGTCTGTTCTTCTTTCCTTGGAGTTCCTTCTTTTTTATAGGCAACCATAGGATGTTACTTCATCTTGGTATTATGATATTGTGTTCTTCTAATATACTTCTTCATTATACTGCCATTATGGTTGATTTATATTAAGCAATACATTTTATTTTGTTGGTTGTTTCATATTGTGGGAGTCTTCCCTCTCGGTTATTCTATTCATACCAGTACATTGACTCTTACCTACTTTGCTGTCATTCAGATGTGTAATGTAAGGTTTAAAATATGTTATATACAAATAAATATAAAAAGTAAGCTGTCTCTGTCCATGTACTGATAAAGTAACAAGTAAGAAATAAAGACTTTACGTCTAGAATTTGAGTCAGCTGATCATTTGACATCATCATGTTGACATTTGTTTTTGAAGATCACATATTCTGCTCATTTTCAGCTTCATATCAGTATTTAGTGTCTCTACTGGCTCTGTTGTAATTGGTCAACCGCTAAGAGATGTATCACATACAAAGTTTTAAAGCGCTAGCCAATAGAAGCACAGGTGTTACATAGTGATGTCACTATGTGACAGAAGTAAACAAAGGAGTCCACTCCTGCAGTGAACCTCAAACGTTTTAAAATCATTTTTATTATATTTTCACATCATATTTTTAACATTTCTTCCTCACCTAATGTAGATAGATTGATTACGGAGAATCCTAATGTTATGTTTCCAAACTCTCTCAAAAATCAGCTTTGAAGTTTGGCAATTCAAATATACATAATGCGGAATTAACCATGTATATTTACCATGTATAGTACAGGTCATTTCCCAATTGCTCAATGGTTTTTGCTGACCTTTTTCAAGGAATTATCCTTAATTGTACTTGCTGGTAACTAGCATGGCAGCCATTGTTCATAAATAGGCTTTCATTGAAATGTTCAGTACATTTCTTCAAACAAAACCTTATAGGAGACCATGAAGGCGTCGCAGTAGGCATGTAGCATCTGATCCACAGGGCTGTAGTTCAGGGCCTGGATGTTGGGAGACATCTTTTTGATGAAGATACCGAGGTTAAACTTCTGCTCGCCTGTGGTCGTGTCAAACGAAAAGAAGATCTCCTCGGTGAGTTTGTCAACGTACCGCGTGGCATACAGCACGCCACAGGCCATGAAGGTGTTGGTCACCCCCTGCTTGTAGACCGAAGTGTGCCAGGTCTGGCCGAGCCTCAGCGGCTCACCCTCCTCCACCTTTGACAGCACCAGGTTTCCAAAGTCCTGGTTGGTGGTGTAGATCACCCAAACGCCTGACTCATCCGTCGCCAGGTCCAGGTCCGTGAAAAGGTAGCATTCATCGAGGTGGCAGAAGTTACCCTTTGAGTTAAACCTGAAGAAAGGACAACACTTCAGAATTCAACATTTTCAAGCAAACATGGAAGACTTTGGTTTGTAGTAACAACATTTATTCTGGCAGCAGCAACACTTATTAATGATCTTAAGACAAAGCGAACCTGGTGCCTTTGGGTAGTTGCACGGTGGTGACAGTTTTGCTGGTGAGGTTGAATCGACAAACAGCATCTTGGTTGTAACAGTTGTAGTACAAGGCCTCTCCATATATCACAACATTTGGACCCTGGATAGTGTTGGTGGTCGGGTTAGAGGGGCTGATCTGGACATTACCTGGAAGAAGAAGAAAAAGAAGAAGAAGAAGAACAACAACAACAACAACAACAAAATGTTACAACACTTGAGTATTTGTTTTAAATCAGGGTGGGGAAGGTTATTTAAAAAAATGTATTCAATGACAATTAAAGCTGCAAGCAGCGTTGAGCGGGTCTTCGACGCTCCGCAGGCTGTTGTCCGCACGTCGACGTGTCACGCAGGAGTTTTCTGGACTCGGCCGTTGGCAAACATGGGAAGTTTCAGGCCGATCAGACAACGTACATGGGAGTTACAGCAGTATCATAAACATTGTGTTTGATGGCGAGTGATCTATCGCCATGGCAACGGCATTTGATGACACAACATAATACACTTAGATGTGTTGAGGGCTGCATCGTTATCAAACCTGTGAAGTTGTGTGCCGTTTGGAGCATGTTAACTGGAGTTATGAGAAAACCGTGTTTCACGGCGACCATTTTGTTACCTTAGCAACGACATTTGACGAAATCTCAAAACTGAAACATATATGTCTCGAGGGCTTGACGGTTAGCACACATGTGAAATTTGAACCCTTTTTTACCATTTTCAGAGGAGTTATAGCAATATCGTGCTTAACGGCGAGGGATGCGTTGCCATGGCAACAGCTTTTGAGGAAAACTCACTATTGTCAGATTGAGGTGTTGAGGGCCGGACCATTAACTGTCATCTGAAGTCTGGTGCAGTTTGGACCATTTTCCATCGAGTTATGACAACACTGTGTTTCATGGCGAGGGATCTGTCGCCATGGCAACGGCATATGATGACATCCCATAATTGGCGTAGAGCTGTTCAGGGCCAGACCATTAGCCATCATCTGAAGTCTGGTGCCGTTTGGACCATTTTCATAGGAGTAACGGAAACATCAGGTTTTTTGGTGAGGGATGTGTTGCCATGGAAACGGCATATGGTGAGATCTCAGATTTCACGTAGAGCTGTTGAAGCATGGATCGGTGATATAAAAGTGAAGATTGGGGGACGATGGGACCGTGTCCATTGGAGTTACAGCGACACCGTGTTTTATGGCGAGGGATGCGTTGCCATGTTAACGCCATATTAAGTAACATCAAATTTGACGTAGAGCTGTTCAGGGCCGCAGTGTTAACCATCATGTGAAGTTTGGTGGCGTTCTGAGTATGTCAGTTGGCGTTATGACATCATCGTGTTCCATGGCGAGGGATCGCCTAGCATCGAGCGAACGCGAACTTTGGCGCCAAATCACGGCTACGCCGTGCGAAAGAAAAAAACTTCCGTGATAACTTTGAATTGCCCATGTCTCGAGACGCTACCCGACGAATTTCGAGTCGTACGGATAAAGTCCCTGGGAGAAGATAGATTTCGTGCGGAGGACGAAAAACGCGATAAATCGCGTTTTTCCGACGCCAAATTCAAAATGGCCGGCTTCCTGTACGTTATTTTATACCCCTCCAAGAGGCTTTTTGGTTTGTCTCCGCACCTTAGATATGCATAGCAAGTTTCGTTCGTTTACGTGAAAGTTAAAGTGGGGGGAGTTTACGTTAAAAACGGAAGTGGGCGTGGCCTACGCAATTTTTTACTTTTCAGCTAGCAAATGAGAAGCGAAACGGGAGTGAGGGACGTAAACAAACGATTTAAGAAGGCACAGGACAGCAGCTAAACCCCAGCAGGTGATACTTAAAGACATCAAACATAGCCCTTAAATGTCCTCTCTTACCTCCCACACATAGCAGGGACATCTCTGATATCGGCGGGAGCGTCCCCGGCTGTCCTCTGCTGAGAGCTCCGTGATTTGTTTGGTCAAGTCCGGTTTTTCATCTCATCGGTTTATTTGTCAGTATGAAGTTGCAGGATTAGTCTCAAGTACCTCAACATTGTCCTTAAGTACAGTGTCTAAGTAAATGAGATACTGTCTACTGCTGTTCATTTACCTATTGTGAGTCGCCTCGGATAAAAGCATCACATGGAAATGTAAATTTAGCAAGTAGTGGCCATTATTACATTACTACATTGCTGACTCAATAAACTACACAACCGCCAGAACACTGCGATCATCAGATGCAGGTCTATTAACTGTGATTTTATAGTATGTCTGCACTTTATGTGCTCATTTCATCATTCATGTATTTTTATATTCTAAAACATGTTTTTGATGGACGAGAGTGAAAATGGAACGCACACACTATTTGTTGTTTGTTTATATCAGTCTGTTCTTCTTCTCTGTCTTCCGGTTGTTGCCTATTTTGAATGACGAATACACACTACCGCCGCCTGCTCGTAAGGAGAGTTATTGCCACTCACGCATGCGCAGTTCGTACGTGCTCGGCTTAAGTCTTTGCGGTGTGTTCCAGTGCGACACATGGCCAAGACGCAGGAGAACTCGCCGATGCAACAGTGGATGTCGGTGTAGGTGTCGGTGTCGTAGTCTGTGTCGGTGTCGGTGAGGGTGAGTTATCTGGTGACGGCCTGGTGTGTCTGGGCCTTAACACAATAAAAAAGTAATGTAACCTGATTACTTTCTGACAGCAATACAACAAATATTGCTGTCAATAAATACAACACTCAAATGCATTATGTCAACAGATTTCAAATAACTGTATTAGGTCAGTTGAAAGCAATAATATTAATTTAAAATACAAAATATTAGGTTCAACTTGATATTATTGCTTTCAACTAACCTAATGTGAAATCTGTTGACATAATACATTTAAGTCAACGTTTCAGTTATTTCAGTGCACAAAAGGATCCATATCAAGTAAATTGATCTCCTTATTATAGAGCTCCATTGTTGTGTTAATACTATTAAAAAAACACATTGTTGCCCTGGGTGACAGTTCTCACACACACTCAAAGTGTTACAATCGAAGGCAATACATTTGTAACATTACCACTTAGGAGTTGTTTACCTGGTATGCTAACCCCAACAATGAGAGAACTCAGGCTGGAGTAGAGACGCACGTAGTTGGAGAATTTGTTGCCGACAGTCAACATCACCAGCCAATGCCAGCTCTCCTTCCCCGCCTCTGGTTTGGGGTCCCGCCCCCAGGCTCCGTACTTGTAGGCGCCTGGGAACTCTCCCGCTGTGTGCACTCTGGGCCCCGTGATGTTCACAAACTGACCGTGGGGGCAGTTACCTTAGGGGAAAATATTATATGAAAGAGGGGAAATAAATAGTACTAAATTAGTACAGCTGACTAGGCGAGGTGTCCATGGGTTGATAAATGCTTGCGAATTGTGGTAATTGGTGCTGAGAGCTTCTTACGGTTCATTTATACCCTGCATTAGCTCTCAGTGAGGAGGGCCCTTCACAGCTCTGAGTGACCTTAAACTGTATGAAGTGCCACTCTCTAGTGCAGACACTGTAGACAGAGAACCATAAGAGCCTCTGATGCGGCTTTCACACCAGCGCTTTTCCCTTTCTAGCTCCGAGCTAGAGCTTTTCTGGTTCAGCTCCGGTTTCCCTTTTCTGCTCCCGCTTTGTTCACACCACTGAGAGCCGGGATGGTGCTGCCGCTGCTGCGTCATGACGTCACCGTTTACATCGCTGATTTGCTCCCCAACGGCGCTCACAACAACAACAACGGGGGACTGCGTCGGGTCGATGATCGTGTTGCTTTTAATCATACGAAGCCAGATTCAATTAAATAACGACTTCTCCAACCTTATACTTTTCTCCAGAGTGCCGTGGTTCATTGTTTATTAATGTGTTTCAGCGGCATTTACCGACCGCTGCAGTGCTGGCTACTCTTCCACAGGAGTTTATTCTCCCGTTAGCTCCGGGTTAGCTCACACGGCTCTAAAGTATTCACTGTCTGACTGTCACACAAGCAGCTGATACATATCCCCAGTTCCCCTTAAGTGAATGTGTGTCAGTCTGAATTGACGCTGTTTGGCATCACAACGCTGTTATGAAAGTTTCTCTGGTATAACATGGGTGATGTTAGCATAGCAACCGAAGCTAAACTGACTACTTGCTAAGCCGTTTTCTACAGGCACATTTTACCGGCGTATTTTTCATTATGATTCTACTTGTGATAGTCGGACATGACAACCTGTGCAGCCCATGTATTGATTCCATCCGATAGCTGCTATAATAACAAACAAAACGTCTGCCTGCTCTCCACAATGATCAATAACAGCGAACGGATGGTCAAAGTAAGGTACAAATAAACAGAATCACACGAAGCCTGGTTAGTGTTGCCTGACTTTATAAAGTGTTTTTTTTTTTTATAAGTGTGTGGTTGCCTTCTAGTCACTTTGCTCAGCGCTACTGCTTGTAGGCAGGCATGACGAGACTCTTCAGTCGACCCATGTTCAGGGGAGGTGGGTTTAGTTTCCTGCACGCCTCGATGTAAGAGAGACGTAAGCGACGCCGCCTCTTAGCTCCGGAGTCGTGCTTCTAGACCGACAATTTTTTGGAGCTGGAAACAAACTGGATTCCGGAGCTAAGAGGCGGCGCCGCTGCGGTGTGAACAGGAAAAAACGGTACTTTTCAGGCTCTAGCTCCGAGCCGGCGCTGAAAGGGGCATGAGTGTATTTGAGACCCACTCTATCAAAATCAGTCGGATGTTGAAATGGCACATGCCAGAATAGACATGGATTTATGGAGGCGTGTGGCGCAGTGGATAGAGCTTTGGTATGGGGATCAGATGGTCACAGGTTCAAACCCCACTGCAGTCAGCATGTCGTTGTGTCCCTGGGCAAGACACTTCACCCCAAATTGCTCCTGTGGGGATTGCCCCCAGTATTGAGTATGTAAGTCACTTTGGATAAAAGCGTCTAACAAGTAACATGTAACGTAATGTCAGAATCTTGTGTGTTGGTCATTTGGGGTTTTGGATTATTTGAAACAAACAAAGTCTTGGCTTTCAGAACATGAAACTTTTATCGCCACCATCAGATGATAAATACATGTATTGAAGCTTGGTGACTCTGATCTGCAATCCCTGAAGTAATAATAATACATGGTATTTTTATAGCACTTTTCCAGGTGCTCACATTTTAAATTACACTTTTATCCAAAGCGACTAAAAAATGATGGCTTATTCCAGAACACAAAGCTGACATGTGTTCCATATATATACCAGCGACGTGCAGTCAGTGGAGGCAGGGGAGGCACAGCCTCACCTGTCATACTCCAATGTAACGGAAAAACAACTAAAGAAAAACGAAATAGTAATAATAATAAAATGTCTCCACTGATCTGTGTTGTAAGTGTGATTTATGTATGATTCTAATCGCTTTTTATAGTCAAAATCAGCAAATTTGCCGAACTCCGCTACGGGAGCGATGACAAGTGAGGCAGGCACGTGCTCTGCCTCTCGTAAGCCCACAGTAACTTGCTGGAGCACGGGCACTAATTTAGCGCGGGCACTTATTTTGTGAGCGCGCTCAAGCCAGTTACTGTGGGGTGAGGTGAGGCACAGATGAGATCTGCCTCACCTCAGAATGCGTCACCCCACAGAAACTGGCTGGAAAGCGGGCCCTAAGCGCATGCCTGTTACCATCTCACTGTAGGTCACCAATGTAATGTATGTAGATCCCTTTATTACATTTATCCTCGCCATCCATAGTCTCTAAATAACTTATTTCACGTATATATGATATTTAGGCTCGCTGGTCTCAACGGCAATGAAAATGCACCAGGGGAGGCAGCCATAACCTCTGCCGCACTGAAGGGGGCGCACGTGAGCCCACAGGTTCTTGTTGCTACTGTAATTCTACGCAGAGACGGTAGACGTAACAACAAACTAGACTTTTGAAACTACAGGAAGATAAGGAGGACTTTTACAAAAAAGTAATAGAGATTGTTGTCCAGAAGGATAGCATGGACTTCATCTTCAAGTCAAGGTAAGACCACATTTGTAATGAAAATGGGATCTTACTAAGAAAGAACAATCCAATATTTAGATTTTGTGTATCCTTTTGTTGTACGGTCTGTTTAAAATGAATCGAAGCATCAGACTAAAAAAGCTTTTGAAAATAACCGAATATTTCGATTAAGGTCAAAATATAATATTTGTAAATCTGACTCAGTGAGTCAGTGCCTCACCAGCCATGAACCTCACCGCACGTCACTGATATATACAGTATACTCCTGCCAATAGGTGGCGCAGCGTACTGTAACCATACTTACATACTTATGAAGAGAATAAGTGTATGCCCGGGAGTTGTAGCTGTTTTGCCAAATTATGAGTTTCAGTGGCATTATAAAGCTTGTAAAGATATGAGTGTCGAAAACAACAGGCAAAATACGCACACAAACGCACTCACACATACTCATCAGCTTTCTTACACCCTACTTTTCATCATCCAAGTAAATAAAACATCTTTGTCCTCAATGCTACTAGCTTAAAATGAGTTAGCCTAATCAATACGCTGGATGGATCACTGTGATCCCTCTGCTGACTGTTGAACTCTATGAGAGGGACAGCCTGCTAACAAGCTTTGTTAAAGACAAACAAACATTTCAGAATCATAGCTCCAAATATTAAGTCCCTTTTAACCTGTTAAGCCCTGAGCCTGTTTTTCAGGTCTCAGGCTCGAAAATGACACTTCCAGAACTAGGGATGCTCTGATTGCCAATTTTGGGGCCGATCGCCGATCCGATCGAGTGGGCGGGGCCTATGGGGATCTTCCATTTAAAGTGATGTTTACAACTCAGTTAATGGGGCTCATTCACTGGCGCTTCCACAAACAACAACCAACATAATTATTACATTGAAATGAAGTACATTATTCAAGTTTACATTAACTTTGGATAATAACACGGGAGAAATGAGCGGAAGCGCTCTCTTTTCCTCTCTCCCCCTCTCTCTCTCTCTCCTGACAGCCCGTCAGTATCTCCTGCAGCTCACTGATCCAGTAATGAGTGACCCGACAGTGAAGAATAAATATATTTATAACTAGTTTAGCTTGTTCCAGAGGTAGATAAAATAGCTAAGTGTGTTAGGTCTAACTCTTCGTGTGTGTTGCTCCGCTCACCGGTCCGTCACAGCGGGTGGAGCTGCAGGATTTCTGCTTCACACACGTTGCACCGCTATTTTATTGTCACTTTCGGACACTTAAAATACTGCCAGACTAATGAAGCCATTTTGGCGAGCTTGTTTTGCCGCGCACAGAGAAAAGTGTCATGTATTTTACATCATAATTTTACGTCATAATTTTACGTCATGCAATCGGCTCTCGCGATCGGCATTTTTAGAGAGCACCGATCGATCGGCAGAGAGTGAGTATCGGCCGATATCGATCGGCGGCCGATCGATTGGAGCATCCCTACCCAGAACAAATGACTATAACTTCACTTCTAAAAGGGGGAAATTAATAATCGTTTTTCTCAAAGCGATGATAACCTGTGAGTTGGATGTAGAAAAGTCAGAATCAATATAGAATTTTTTTATTTTAAAGTAAATTCAGATTGAACATAGTAGCTCTCATAGCAACTATATATGAAAACGTGATCAGAATAACAGCACAGGTAAGACAATGTCCCGTTTTTGCTCCGTAAAGCTCCGTGTTGTGATGTCTGTGTTAGTTTCCTCTGTCGCAAGTTCTGATCGCTCAGTGATGATACGTATACCCCTAGAATCTGTGGAATCTCATCTTGCTAATCGATATCTTGTTTGTGCAGATCCGATATGTAATAAGGGTATTTATGCCTAGAGTTCTGTGCTAAGTGTGTTAGCATTTTTTCGCTCAGGGCTCATTTAGACGCTTCATGTGAGACTTGTGTTTTGTTTCGGTAAAAATGGTTCGTATCGTCAGTTAGCTGAGTTTCTTCCCGTTAATCGGGTATGACACATTAATAGGTTTTTAAATGTTAAGAAGCCCTGAGACACAGTTTCGTGAAAAAAAACCGGAGGGTGGGGGCCTCCGGGTTGAACAGGTTAAAATAACTTTGTAAAAAAAAATGGTTTGCTAACTTTGAGGCCTTTCTTACATAACTGTGTCTTGATAACAGTCGTTACATTATGTGAGATGTTTAGCTGAATATTTGGAGAACAAAATGTATTATAACCAAGGATATCATTGTAAAGCTAAGAATCTCCTGTTTCCAACAGTGTATCTAATTCAAAATGTGTTACGTTGTCTAGGTGACTAATTTTGATAGAACAGGTCACCTTTTTGTTAAGGTTACGGTAAGATTTGACCCTAACCCTAACCCTAGGTTTGACCTCAACCCTAACCTTGGGTTAAACAATGGCACCATCTGATTTAGCCTGTAAAAATATCAAGTAACTCATTGTGAACACAAATAAGATCAGAAGACAATGCATTTCTGTGGGGGCTAAATGACAAAATGTTTAAGTGAACTTTCAAACAAAGGGCAATTCCTACAGTTATATTTGATCTATCTCCAGTGGAAAGAGAAGTAAAAAATAAAGGTTTCCCACACTTTGACGCTCACTGTAGTTTCGGCACATACCGGGTGGGTGAGTGGGAGGGGGGGCGGGCTGTCCGTTCTGGCACTGGTCCAGGTCTCTCTTCAGACGCTGGTTGGCTTGTTGTGTCTTCATCACTTGCGAGGTGTCGTACGTCTCCAGATCCTGCATCTCTGCACTCAGGTCCTCCAGCTTAGGACACAACACACATGGCAATATTTGTTTTGACTTTATTGTATTACCAAGTTGAATGATTTACCCTCATATAAACTGGACAGGCTTATACATGGATGTACATTTTATCTATGAATTACAAACCTGAAACCCAAACTCACCACAAATTATATATTCCTTATCCTGATAGTTCAGCTACCATTTGAAGTATTTCCAGATTGAAATATATCTTGACTGCATATATACTGCTAACATTTTTTTATTTGGAAACAACCACACAAAAGTACCTTTTTAAAACCGAGCAAGGTTCCCATTCCTACATTCCTATAAGTGTTGCATTCAAAGTCAACAGGAGTCATATGTCACTGGAGCCGGTTTTGTGATTGTTAAAAATGTATTTGCTAAGGAGTGCAATGCCAGAAATAAAGTGATATAGTAAATATCAAAAGTTGTTTCTTTCATACTTTTTCACAAGTAAACAGAGATGGATAGAAAGATGGAGAGTTTTCAATAAAAATCTATATGAATTCCTTGAAAGAAATCTAGAGAAATCATGGTTATATATATATATACGCTTTTATCCAAAGCGACTTACATACTCAATACTGTGGGCAATCCCCACAGGAGCAATTTGGGGTGAAGTGTCTCAGGGACACAACGGCATGCTGACTGCAGTGGGGTTTGAACCTGTGACCCCCTGATCCCAACACCAAGTGTGTACCTGTCCCTCAGAGTGTACCTGTTCAGCAGTGTGTACCTGTCCCTCAGAGTGTACCTGTTCAGCAGTGTGTACCTGTCCCTCAGTGTGTACCTGTCCCTCAGAGTGTACCTGTCCCTCAGAGTGTACCTGTTCAGCAGTGTGTACCTGTCCCTCAGAGTGTACCTGTTCAGCAGTGTGTACCTGTCCCTCAGAGTGTACCTGTTCAGTAGAGGGTACCTGTCCCTCAGAGTGTACCTGTTCAGCAGTGTGTACCTGTCCCTCAGTGTGTACCTGTCCCTCAGAGTGTACCTGTCCCTCAGAGTGTACCTGTTCAGCAGTGTGTACCTGTCCCTCAGAGTGTACCTGTTCAGTAGAGTGTACCTGTCCCTCAGTGTGTACCTGTCCCTCAGTGTGTACCTGTCCCTCAGTGTACCTGTCCCTCAGAGTGTGCCTGTCCCTCAGTGTGTACCTGTACCTCAGAGTGTACCTGTCCCTCAGAGTGTACCTGTCCCTCAGAGTGTACCTGTTCAGCAGTGTGTACATGTCCCTCAGAGTGTACCTGTCCCTCAGAGTGTACCTGTCCCTCAGAGTGTACCTGTTCAGCAGTGTGTACATGTCCCTCAGAGTGTACCTGTCCCTCAGTGTGTACCTGTCCCTCAGTGTACCTGTCCCTCAGAGTGTGCCTGTCCCTCAGTGTGTACCTGTCCCTCAGAGTGTACCTGTTCAGCAGTGTATACCTGTCCCTCAGTGTGTACCTGTCCCTCAGAGTGTACCTGTCCCTCAGAGTGTACCTGTTCAGCAGTGTGTACCTGTCCCTCAGTGTGTACCTGTCCCTCAGAGTGTACCTGTCCCTCAGAGTGTACCTGTTCAGCAGTGTATACCTGTCCCTCAGTGTACCTGTCCCTCAGAGTGTGCCTGTCCCTCAGTGTGTACCTGTACCTCAGTGTGTACCTGTCCCTCAGAGTGTACCTGTCCCTCAGTGTATACCTGTCCCTCAGTGTACCTGTCCCTCAGAGTGTGCCTGTCCCTCAGTGTGTACCTGTCCCTCAGTGTACCTGTCCCTCAGTGTACCTGTCCCTCAGAGTGTGCCTGTCCCTCAGTGTGTACCTGTCCCTCAGTGTGTACCTGTACCTCAGAGTGTACCTGTCCCTCAGAGTGTACCTGTCCCTCAGAGTGTACCTGTTCAGCAGTGTGTACCTGTCCCTCAGAGTGTACCTGTCCCTCAGTGTGTACCTGTCCCTCAGTGTACCTGTCCCTCAGAGTGTGCCTGTCCCTCAGTGTGTACCTGTACCTCAGAGTGTACCTGTCCCTCAGAGTGTACCTGTCCCACAGAGTGTACCTGTTCAGCAGTGTGTACCTGTCCCTCAGAGTGTACCTGTCCCTCAGTGTGTACCTGTCCCTCAGTGTGTACCTGTCCCTCAGTGTGTACCTGTCCCTCAGAGTGTACCTGTCCCTCAGAGTGTGCCTGTCCCTCAGTGTGTACCTGTCCCTCAGAGTGTACCTGTTCAGCAGTGTGTACCTGTCCCTCAGAGTGTACCTGTTCAGTAGAGTGTACCTGTCCCTCAGAGTGTACCTGTTCAGCAGTGTGTACCTGTCCCTCAGTGTGTACCTGTCCCTCAGAGTGTACCTGTCCCTCAGAGTGTACCTGTTCAGCAGTGTGTACCTGTTCAGTAGAGTGTACCTGTCCCTCAGAGTGTACCTGTTCAGTAGAGTGTACCTGTCCCTCAGTGTGTACCTGTCCCTCAGTGTGTACCTGTCCCTCAGTGTACCTGTCCCTCAGAGTGTGCCTGTCCCTCAGTGTGTACCTGTACCTCAGAGTGTACCTGTCCCTCAGAGTGTACCTGTCCCTCAGAGTGTACCTGTTCAGCAGTGTGTACATGTCCCTCAGAGTGTACCTGTCCCTCAGAGTGTACCTGTCCCTCAGAGTGTATCTGTTCAGCAGTGTGTACATGTCCCTCAGAGTGTACCTGTCCCTCAGTGTGTACCTGTCCCTCAGTGTACCTGTCCCTCAGAGTGTGCCTGTCCCTCAGTGTGTACCTGTCCCTCAGAGTGTACCTGTCCCTCAGAGTGTACCTGTCCCTCAGAGTGTGCCTGTCCCTCAGTGTGTACCTGTCCCTCAGAGTGTACCTGTTCAGCAGTGTGTACCTGTCCCTCAGTGTGTACCTGTCCCTCAGAGTGTACCTGTCCCTCAGAGTGTACCTGTTCAGCAGTGTATACCTGTCCCTCAGTGTACCTGTCCCTCAGAGTGTGCCTGTCCCTCAGTGTGTACCTGTACCTCAGTGTGTACCTGTCCCTCAGAGTGTACCTGTCCCTCAGTGTATACCTGTCCCTCAGAGTGTACCTGTTCAGCAGTGTGTACCTGTCCCTCAGAGTGTACCTGTCCCTCAGTGTGTACCTGTCCCTCAGTGTACCTGTCCCTCAGAGTGTGCCTGTCCCTCAGTGTGTACCTGTCCCTCAGTGTACCTGTCCCTCAGAGTGTGCCTGTCCCTCAGTGTGTACCTGTCCCTCAGTGTGTACCTGTCCCTCAGTGTACCTGTCCCTCAGAGTGTACCTGTCCCTCAGTGTGTACCTGTACCTCAGAGTGTACCTGTCCCTCAGAGTGTACCTGTCCCACAGAGTGTACCTGTTCAGCAGTGTGTACCTGTCCCTCAGAGTGTACCTGTCCCTCAGTGTGTACCTGTCCCTCAGTGTGTACCTGTCCCTCAGAGTGTACCTGTCCCTCAGAGTGTGCCTGTCCCTCAGTGTGTACCTGTCCCTCAGAGTGTACCTGTTCAGCAGTGTGTACCTGTCCCTCAGAGTGTACCTGTTCAGTAGTGTGTACCTGTCCCTCAGAGTGTACCTGTCCCTCAGAGTGTGCCTGTCCCTCAGAGTGTGCCTGTCCCTCAGTGTGTACCTGTCCCTCAGAGTGTACCTGTTCAGCAGTGTGTACCTGTCCCTCAGAGTGTACCTGTTCAGCAGTGTGTACCTGTCCCTCAGAGTGTACCTGTCCCTCACCCCTAATTTCCATTAGGGTCCGTCTGCGTCGCGTTACGGCCGCGTTACGGCCGCGTTACGGCTACGCCGCTGCGTTCGCAAAGATCGCGGCCACTCTAGTCAATGGGTGCTATTCCACCACACGCGGCGCGTTACGGCTCAGAAGCGGCTCAGAAGCGGCTCAGAAGCGGCTCAGAAGCGTCTCGGCGCAGGACTCCTCTCAAATTAGAATGAATCCTATTTTTGACGCGACGCAGCCGTAAGGTAATGTCGGGCAGGCAGGAAGTGGAACGTTCAGAGCATATATAGCATATATATATATATATACACACACAAACTAATTTTGCAGACCCTATCCCTCCGTAGTCTTTCAAGTAGGAGGAGAAATGCCAGCGTTCTCCTCCGGTTTACAGGCACTGTGTAAATTATATATATAGAATAATTATGATGATGAATGCATTTTTACCACTAAAATACAGCAACACATCTTTGATTGATGTCGTTTATAACTGGAATATTACAGTTATTATTAACTTTGTCTGTACAAAGTAGCCTGTCCAGGAAATATGCCCAAATCAACAAAAACTGCGAGCCTGCATGCACGACGCTCCGCTTCTGAAACGCTTCTGGAACGCGCCCGGTGGGTTATGAGGCTAGAGGAGGTCGGACCAAAACCGCGGCGCAGCCGTAAAGCGACGCAGACGGACCCGGTGGAATCTAGGGGTCAGAGTGTACCTGTTCAGCAGTAGCAGCAGTGAGGCGCTGGTGTTGCAGGGTGGTGCTGTTGAGCCGCTCCATCATCTGTTGGATCTCCCTCATCTCGTTCTCTATCACCTGCAGGCTGATCACTCCGTACAGCTCTCCATCATCCTCGCTCTCCAGCAGGGACACATCCTCCAGCAGCTGGGGCAGACGGCGATCCAGACCCAGCAGCAGACTCTCCAGCTCCATGGTCTGAACAGAACAGGTGGTGTTGGTACGGAGCCGGGCTGAACCAGCTCTGTCCCTTCCCCTCAATCAGCCATTCCCCTTACTAACTAATCTTTACCAGCATCCCTTCAACCAGTCATCCCTCCCTTCCTACATCCCCTTTATCCTTCATTCCTCCCTTCCTTCATCTCTACATCCCTTCATCCCTTCCTCCCTACATCCTTTCTTCTATTCGTCCCTTCTTCCCCACATCCTTAGTCAGTTCATCCCTTCGCCCCTACATCCCTATCTCCCTCTACTGTATATCTTCCACCCCTAATCCCTTCCTCGCTACATTCATTTGTCCCATCTTCCCTTCCTAACTACATCCCTTTGTCCATTCATCCTTCCCTCCCTGCATTTCTTAATCTATCCCTCATGAAGCCCTTCACAAGTTAAATCAAAGAGTGTATCGTGTACAGCGGAGATGAAAAAAGTAGATCTACTAGAGTATCGTACTCAAGTACAAGTTAGCATACTTAAAATACATTTTCAAGCAAAATAAAAATTACTTGTTACATAAATGTAGATAGAGAAAAGTAAACAAATATATAAAATACTTCAATTTAAATGCACATCACGGGCTGTGATGAGGTTCTGATCTGAGACAGAACCCCCAAAGAAAACCCCCCTTTCTTTGGCATGCAATATCTCCTGTTATTACATCTTTAATCTACATATTGTTTTGGTGCGGTCCTTGCTAGTAAACAGGAGTTTATAAAAAATCTAGTATTATTCATATATTCTATTAACTAGAAGTAGAGAGTATCACAACTACTCACTGTACCTTCTGGGGGGTGACGTTGCTGTTGCATTTTGATACATTTTCCTTCACTCCACTGAGTTTGTCATGGGGAAAGGCCTTCTCTGAGTTTTTCAACTCACACGCACACTTATCATCTGAAGGTGCCTGCAATGAAGAATATTAAACGTGGCATGTTCAAATAAATCCCAAATGAAGTAATCAATATATTCCAAGTGTTTCCTACCTGTTGGGTGAGGGCGAGCAGGGCCCACAGGGGGACGATCACATAGAGCTTCATAGCGGATCAGAGAGCAAAGCTAAATGAAACAGCTCTTTGAAACAGTTTGATTATGACGGTGTGTCCGCCTGTAGCTGCACATCTAACTGAACACTCCCACTAACCTCTGTGTGTGTTCAGTGTGTGTGCCATGTGTCATGTTCCTTCCTGAATGTGATCACTTCCTCCTTGTGGTTGGGATTGCAGCAAGACAAAAATGTGTATATGGTGAAGTGAAAACTCCATATGTTACTGTGTTTACCTGCGAATGTCTCTTTTGCGAGTACCGTGTCCACCATATTCAATTATGAAAGAAGAGCAAAGAAAAAGCTGAAATAAAGTGGAGTTGAAAAATGATATGAATATCAGGAAATGTTTGATCCCCTGCACATGTGATCAACATGTTATAGTGTATTTTGCGAAGATAATTAATCAATAAATGAATAATCCCAGGGTAAATAATGTTTGTGACAGTTGCACCATATTAGAAAGAACAAAATAGGAAATGTATATAAAAAGTTTAAGTAGCCACATGGAGACAGCATCTGAGGCTCAGGAATGAGGCAGGACGTCCTCCACAGCACAGAGACATGATGAAGACTCAGGCTCATGGTGAAGACTCAGGCTCATGATGAAGACATGATGAAGACTCATGCTCATGGTGAAGACATGATGAAGACTCAGGCTCATGGTGAAGACATGATGAAGACTCAGGCTCATGATGAAGACATGATGAAGACTCAGGCTCATGGTGAAGACATGATGAAGCTCTTAGTGCCATCCTTGTCAGCCCGAACAGTCTAGAATCCATCAAATTAAGCGTTGGAAACATAGGATCTTTGTTGAGGGAAACATTGCCCAATCAGTCCGGAATTGTTCGATTGAAACTTTGTCGTCAGATATGTGCTGGTGCAGCCATGTTTTTGTAAAGCACATTAACCCTTTATCGGGCGAGGAACCATATTTGGGTTAAGGTTAGGGTTACCCAAACATGGCGTCCCCCCGCGACTCAGTTGCCCCTTTCACACCAACGCGGTTCCCATTCTAGCTCCGTGCTTGCGCTCTTCTGGTTCGGAACCGGTTTTTCTTTTCAGCCCCCGTTTTGTTCACACCGCCCAGAGCCCGACTGGTGCTGCCACGGCTGCGTCATGACGTCACCGTTTATGTCGCTGATTTTCTCCCCAACGGCACTCACAACAACAACAATGGGGGACTGCGTCGGGTCGATGATCGTGTTGCTTTTAATCAACTACTTCACTTTGCTCAGCGCTACTGCTTGTTACAACTTTTATTTGCCGTACTCGCCATAAACTGTTGCTCAGGTTGATCCCGCCCCTGCCCCCGTCTCCGACGTAAGCGTGACGTATGCGGTTCTTGCTTCTAGACCGACTATTTTTTGGAGCTTGGTAAGAACCGGTTTTCGGGGAAAAGAGCCGGCTCCTCTGCGGTGTGAACAGGAAACACCGGTGCTTATCAGGCTCTAGCTCCGAACCGGCCCTGGAACCGCGTTGGTGTGAAAGGGGCAAGTGAGGTCGAGAACAGGGGCGGACTGGGACAACAATTCAGCCCTGGAAACTGACCCAGTCCGGGGGGGGGGGGGGGGGGGGGGGGGCATCAGAAAAAAAAATACAGTACTATTAGTTATTAGAAATCAGCTGTTTATTAGGCTGCAGTCTATGCAGTTCAAGGAATAATTTTCACCTAAAGAGGGGGGACACTCCTCAGATGTCTTAGGCCCAGGCCCCACGGGAAGGAAAACGGGTTGTGTCCGCATATTTCTCTTGCGTATAGCCCTTTTTGCCACACGACGCCGTAACGAAACGATAGAAACGGACCCTGCAAACGACAACGGGTCCAAAGGTGGATAGATCTGGGAACGGAGCGCTCTGGGGGGTCCAACGGCTCCGTGTGGTAGCCTCTATACGGTCATTTCTGATAATGACGACGCAATAGCCCCGCCTCTCCCCACCTCTGCTGCTCACCCCCGCAAAAGTACACTGCACACTGAATTCAGATTATTTATATTTCTCTCGATATGGACATAAACGCGAGTGAAGTCTAATCTGACAGGACGGAGACACGCAGCTCCTCCCGCTGTGATGCAGCGGGAGCAAAACACACACTTCCAGTCAGATCATCACCCTTAGCTATTTTAATTAGCCTATCTCTCAAACTACCTAAACTAGTTATAAATATGTTTATTTTTACTGTCGGGTCACTCATTACTGGATCAGCTGCTGCATGAGGCAGACACTGACGCCAGAAGAGAGGAAAAAGAGAGGCTCCGTGTATTTTATTATTATATATCATTATATAGAGTCGTTATTCATTTGTTTTAAAGCTCAATAAATAACAAAGAAGACCTTTGACCGGCACTTTTCTAATTTTGTCCGGAAGATTTCAACTTTAACACACGTTGACTGGCGAAAAACTCTGCCCGGTTCCCTCTGCCCGGTTCCCTCGGCCCCCACGCGGAGAATAAACAGAAGTGCAGCCATGACAACCCAGCTTCTTCGCTGCTTTTGTGGAGGAAGTTACAGCGCCACGTACAGGCTCGGCATATGTACTGCAGCTTTTCCAGCGGTTGGATCTAAACGGAGCTGTCTCGTGTGGGCAGACACTATCCGGTGTATATTGCGTGTGGACGGAAGCTTTTTGGCGATTGCGTTTGCGTTAATCCTATGCGTTTTGCCGTATGCGTTCCCGTGGGGCCGGGGCCTCAGACTGTTTAAAAAAAAATACGGTCTGATTTTAACAACTCAATGTGTGATTGTAATAGCAGTAATATTAGACACTAATAATACAGTAAACCACTGTACATATTATTGTTTGCCCGTGGGATTAGGATTATCGGTAGTGAGAGCCGTGAGCACTGCATTTTCCTCCGGTCAGATGTGATATAAAAACAAACCGATTATTTTTGTAGTTGTAAACTCACGTGGATTAAACCACATTTATTAGTGCTTTCATGTCAATTCGGCGAACATTATGATACATTAAATGATCGTGAGGATGATGATTAAAAATCGTTTGTATGAGCCGGTCTGCATTTCCTGATGAAAAAACATAGCGATGGTTTTGTACTTACACCAACGTGGATTAAACAACATTATTTTGTTAAATAAAAACATGGTGATGTTTTGTAAATGATTACATGTCTCTTATTTAGCACAGAATATGATCCTATCCGTGACATATGGATCTTAACAAAGATCGGCTATATCAGATACCTCTACTGTAGATCTATCAGCTGTTTCTTTTTTATTTCACATGAGTTCCACTGTGGCAGCTTTTTAATCACTGCTCCCCCTGGTGGATCCATGATCCATTGCAGCTGGTTTCATTATAATTCAATTTATTTATCAAGGGGGCGTATCAAGTCCTGCGGGGGGTTTACCTTTTCAGCAGGGGCCCACCCCGTGCAGATCACGGACCCGCACGGGTAGGCGTCTGAAATGAAGTGCTACATCTGTACATCTCAGCAACAGTGTGGTTCTTGCCTTGCAGCTACAGGTTAAGGTGATTTAGATGAGACATGATGTCACACAAAAAATTAACATCTGCTATCACCTTGGTGCAGTTAAAAAGCTCAAAAACTCATGGGCTTTTTGGCTCTGCCGCCTTGATAAGAACGACACCAGTTTGTCACGCAGGTCGTACACACCCTCTCCAACACACGGCCCTTGCTCAGCCAGCGAACATCGTTGTGTAGTAAGAGATCCTTGTGTTCAGATGACATTTCCTAGCAACGATCTAAAAAGGCAATGCTGCAGACTAGAGCTCTCACGCACAAAGTTAACCAGTCTCGTCACAGTATCCATCGTTTCTTTCATTTTTCCACACAGTTTTGCGCACAACACTGATTTGTGAATGATGCAGTGAAATGTCAGGAGCGCCGGGTTAACGGCGGAAAGCCTGCTTACCAAGCCTTTGTGCTTTCCAACCATCGACGGAGCCCCGTCGTTTACAACAGAGACGATTTGACTCACATTCAAACCATTCTTTTCGAAGAACTCTGTCAGCTCGTGGAAGATTATTTTCCCGGTCGTACGCCCGGGCAGAGTAAGCAAACACAGCAGCTCTTCCCGGAATATCTTCCCATCAAAAAATCGTACGAACACAGACAGCTGTTCCATGTCGGTTCGGTCACAGGACGAGTCTATGGCTAGGGATATAGCCTCTGTTTTCTTCAAATCCGTGAGTAGACTGGAAAAACACTCCTCCGCTAAAACCTTTACTCTTCTGGTTGCCGTGTTAGCCGACAGCGGCACCTGCTTTAATAGCTCTACAACCTTTTTTTGTTGTTTTTCATCAGGATTTAAAGCTTCACGAGCCATGTCTATCGCACACCGTTTAATTAACTCGGCATCAGCAAACGGCTTCTTGGCTCTAGCGAGCGTCCAAGAGACGTGCAATGAGGCAGCTGTTGCGCTCTCTTGTGCCGATGTTGTTTTCGACATTGTGGAAACAGAGTGCTTGTATGATGCAAGCAAACCTGCTATCTTTTGTGTGCGCTGGTCGGGTTTCTCTGGATAGTTAGCATTAAAACTGGCAGCATGAATAGAGGTGAAGTGCCGCTTCAGGTTGTCTGATTTGATTACAGCTACATTCTGCATGCAAATCAAACAAGTCGGTTTAGCATTGGCGTGGTCCGGTAAAAAAAAAAAATACTTCTCAGTCCAGTCAGTTTTGAACTGACAGTTCTCCTGGTCTACCTTCCTCTTCTCAGCGAATTCCATCCTGGGTTTGAGTTATCCACGGTCCGTTAGTGTCATGTTGGTCAATCGCTGGGCTGGGATGACAGGCGGCTAGCTGGCGAGATATTGTTTATATGTGTTTGCCGCTATTCCAGGTGGTGACGAGTAAGACAAGCGCGCGAAGCACGTCTTGCATATGCACGCGATAAGGTCAAGGGTCAGGTTTACGAGTGTCGACGGAGGTCAAAATACAAGACATTTCATTAATATGTTATAACAAGTGAATGCCAGTAGATCAGCGCGGGCCATGCATTTGCCTCTCGCGGGCCGCTAATTGGGGTTGGCTGGTATAAAGAGTAAAACACAATAAGTAGTGAACTGTATGGTACATGATGAAAGAGTAATATAAG